ACAACTTGAATTACAATAGCTATTTCTTAGTAGTTTTATATACATTTCCAGCTTTTGCTAAGTGCATTACAGGGATACAATATTAGGGATAGCACACGGTATATATGTAGCATCTTTTTCATTTATTCACCCAAAAAGCACTGATTCCTCCTGTGAGCACATCTTTACTTGGTCTGTAAAAAAGGCAAAGATGGGTTATATGCAGATCTTGCTGTTAGAGAATATTAAGAGTAATGATATTTGCAAGGCAAGTGCTCTACCACTGAGCCACCTTCCCAGCCCAAGAGTAATGATATTTGGGATCAGATCACTATCAATTAAAGCCTTGAGAAGTCAGGGCTCTGAGAAGAAAGAAGTTATGTCTACCTAGGGGATCAGAGATGGAAGAGACGACATTCGAACTGAATCTTCATCTCGCCTGACACCTTTCTGCAGGAATAGCTAGGCTGCTGAGCAAGTTTCCATGAGGACTTGTATCTTCCTTTCTCTGGGATGTTTGCCCAGGAGTGGAATTGCCTCACATTCTATTTTTGGTTAGTTTTAGGCATTTAGAGGATATTCTAAATTCTGTTTCATTGGGGAAGGCTTCAGCATGTAGTTATGGCTGTGAGGTGCCTTAAAGCTGTGTAGAAGAGAGAGAGTGGTGTGTAGAAGAGAGAGTCATACATGTGAGCACACTACCATGTGCAATTGCATGCTGGACTGACTGACATCCTTGTAGCACAAAGTAATGTTTAAGAGCTCAGGCTCACAAGTCAGATGCTGTAGATTCAAACACAGTTCTTTGAACTTCTAGGCCTTAGTATCCTCATTTATATATTTTTTCAGGGGGCACTATTGGGATTTGAACTCAGGGTCTCACCACTTAAGCCACATCCTCATAGCTTTTCCTTTAGTTATTTTTGTTTTCTTTCTTTTTGCCAATACTGGAGCTTGAACTCAGGTACTCATACTGTCACCTGGCTTTTTTATTTGTTTATGACTGGCACTCTACTAGTTAAGCCATGCCTCCATTTCTGGCTTTTTGCTGGTTAAGTAGAAATAAGAACCTCTCAAATTTATCTGCCCAAGCTTGCTTCAAAACAAGATCTCATATCTTAGTCTCTTAAGTAGCTAGGGTAATAGGTGTGAGTCACTGGCCCCTGACCTGCCTTACTTAGTCTCAAATAGAAGCTTGAAGTTTTGTCTGGGTCAGCCTATACCATGAGCCTCCTATTTGTACTTTCTGCATAATACAAGCATGTGCTACCCACTTTTTGCCTTAGCTGGCCTCAAACCACAATCCTCATGATTTATACTTCTCCTGAATAATTGGAAATACGAGTGAGCCATCATCATGATGTAAGAGTGAGGACCATTCTGTATTATACTAAACATAACACACAAACTATACCTTATCTCACAAAAAAAATATTTTACATTGGGCTGGGAAGGTGGCTCAGTGGTAGAGTGCTTGCCTTGCATGCATGAGGCCCTGGGTTCAATTCTTCAGCACCACAAAAACAGAAAAAACTGGAAGTGACACTATGGCTCAAGTGGTAGAGTGCTTGCTTTAAGCTGAATTGCTGAGGGAGCGTGCCCAGGCCCAGAGTTCAGGCCCTCGACCGACAAAAAAAAAAAAAAAAAAGTATACATATACATATATGTGTATATGTATACAATATGTATACATATATATGTATATGTATACATTTTTACATAACTGTGAGATTTTGCAAATTGACAGAAACATACATTTTTAGATATTTACAGTAGTTAGAAATTTTCTTTTTGTACATAGGTCTCATACATTTTCCCTACATGCGCACAGATTCTAGATTTATGTTGCCTGCCATGCTCACCACTAGCCATATGGCTAGTGTAACAAAAGGAATTCATATTTAATCTTAATTAATTTAGATTTATTTTAATTTAAAGACCAATAAATTCAGTCATGGGAAAACTTTTAAGTATGTTTGGAACAACTTGGAAAGACATTTTACTTTTGAAAGCCAGCCTGGGCAGAAAAGTTCATGAGACTCTTCTCTCCAATTAACCAACAAAAAGTTGGAAGTGGAGGTGTAGCACAAGTGGTAGAGTACCAGCTTTGAGAGAAAAAGCCAAGTGAGGGCAAGAGGCCCTGAGTTTAATTAAGCCCCAGTATGAGCACACAAAGAAAGTGATATCCATTGTATATAGTTATTCTGCTCTTATCATTTTTCCTTTCCTGCAACATTAAATAGTACTCTATTGCTCTCTATGTGAGTGTACATACATATATATGCATGTGTGTGTATGTGTATGTGTGTTACTATAGGGCCTTGTGTTCAACTTTTTCACTCATAACTGGTGCTCTATTGCTGAGCTATACCTTCAGTTTTAGCTTTTTGCTGGTTCATTGGATTTGTCTTTCTGGGCTAGCTTGGAACCACAATTCTTAGATCTTAGCTCTCTGACTAAGATTATAGGCAGTTATCTCTAATACTTTTTTTCTTTTAAAAGAACACTAACAGGGGCTGGGAAGGTGGCTCAGTGGTAGAGCGCTTGCCTTGCATGCATGAGGCCTGGGTTCAATTCCTCAGCACCACATAAGCAAAAAGAAAAATGCCAGAAGTGGTGCTGTGGCTCAGGTAGTAGAGCGCTAGCCTTGAGCTGAAGAGCTGAGGTACAGCGCCCAGGCCCAGAGTTCAGCCCCACCACCGGACCAAAAAAAAAAAAAGAACACAAACAGCCAGGCGCCAGTGGCTCATGCCTGTAATCCTAGCTACTCAGGAGGCTGAGATCTGAGGATCACAGTTCAAAGCCAGCCTGGGCAGGAAAGTCCGTGAGACTCTTATCTCCAATAAACCACTAGAAAACCAGAAGTGGTGCTGTGGCTCAAGTGGTAGAGTGCTCACCTTGAGCTAAAGAGCTGAGGGATGGCACCCAAGCCCAGAGTTCAAGCCCCACGACTGGTAAAAACAAACAAACAAAAGAACACAAACATTAACCTTTTCTTTCAGGGTATAATATGTTATTATATTTCAAAAGATGCTTTAATCATGATTTTTAAGAGGTAGCATCTTTCTGTGTTGCCCCTTGAACTCCTAGGCCCAATCTACCTTTCTCCATCAGCCTCCCAAGTAGCTTGGGAAATATAGGTGTGTGCCACCACTTTCTGTAGCCCTTTTTTTTTGGGGGGGGGTCCGGTAGTGGGGCCTGAACTCTGGGCCTGGGCGCTGTCCCTCAGCTCTTCAGCTCAAGGCTAGCGCTCTACCACTTGAGTCACAGCGCCACTTCCGGCTTTTTTCTTTTTGCTTATGTGGTGCTAAGGAATCGAACCCAGGGCCTCAGGCATGCAAGGCAAGCGTTCTACGACTGAGCCACCTTCCCAGCCCTCTGTAGCCCTTTTATAGCCTTAAAGTTTTGGCCTTTAAGTTGGAAATAGATATGGGTTTTACTCAGAGTAAGATTTCAGTTTCCTGTGTCTTCTCTTGAGTTAGGTCTCTCTGCTGACTGTGTCAGTATAACCCATATGATTACCTAGAAATCCTCCCTGGGCTTCTATGCTTCATGGCTTCCCCTCGGAGCCTCCCTCTGCTAACCCATGGCAGGTTCTTCAGTGCACAGCACAGGGTATGCAGGAGGCTTGGAGATGGACTTGTCACATGCCTTTTGGCTTCATGAGACAGTTTTTCACATTTCCTGATTGTAAATGGCAGAGGTGATTTTCAGGTCAGTGAGGTCCTATTAAAATAGACAGACTTCTTGCTTTGGATAATGTTTGGTACATGGAATGAATGATGGGCCTGATGCACATAGCTCTGAGGGGCTGTGATGTCTCCAGGTGTCTGTTGTTAATAATGACAATAAACATCTCAACCCTTCACTATTTGACCTTCCTCAGGAAAAAATTCATTGGCTGCTAAAGAAAAAAAAATAATTTACCATCGACAAATGAAAATTAGCTAGTGACTTGCTCTGTGGGTTGTTTTTGTTTTTATTTTTTTTGGAGATACAAAATACAACTTTTGAAGAAAAACCTGGGAGAGAGTGAGGGAAAGGGTGACATTGTCCAAAAAGAAATGTGCTTTTTACCTGACTTATGTAACTATAACCTCTCTGCACATCACCTTTATAATAACAATTAAAAATTTTTTAATGTGATTTTTCAACTTAACTGTTTTTGGTGTAGAGGGAACTTATGTTTTTAGAGGTTAATATAGAGGAAGTCCTTGCCATCTGAAATTTCATATTACAGTCCTTAGAGTTACAGAGTTTAAAGGGAAGTGAAATTCATCATAAAAACAAAAAATACTGAAGGAACAATCCATCTACAAAATTACATTCAAACAGAACCACTTCTCATTTCTATCTGCCATCTGTATTTTCCTGCATATTCTGCCTGTGTTTGTGCAGTGCCTCCTTCATGGAATGCCTGTCCATCCATCTGTCTAGCTGACTGTTCATTCATCAATTCTCTGGATGGTATATTGATATTCTGTATGCTAGGATTTGGTCTATGTAGTTGTTCCCTGTCAAGGCTCTTCCAGGAAGCACATGTGCCCCTAATTCTCTGTCTTCTTCCCTGCAAGAGAAAACTGCTCTCTACCTCCTCTGAGTACTGTCAGCCCATCATGATCTCATAGAATGAGTGCTAAGAATGGTAATAAATCCTAGTTGGTGTTATAGCTAGTGCTTCTTGTGTCTTTTCTCTCTCAGAAGGAACATTAAAACCCAGCACTGGTGGCTCACACCTGTAATCCTAGCTACTCATAAAGCTGTGATATGAGGATTCCAGTTCAAAGCCAGCCCGGCAGGAATGGAGCTGTGGCTCAAGTGGTAGAATACTAGTCTTGAGCAAAAAAGCTCAAGGACAACACCCCAAGTCTGAGCTCAAGCACACCTACACCTACACCCACACAGGAACATTGGTGTATGCTTAGCTCCAAATCTTTCCCATCACACCTGAGAATGACCCACTTGATGAACACTATCTGGAACCCTCCACTTGCCTTTCTTAGCTACTGTTTCTCTTCCAGGGCTAAAGTTGCTGCTGCTGGTGAGCCTGCTGGGATCCCAACCCAAGCCCTCACTCCTGTGAGGCACACAGTGAAGATAGACAAAGACACCCTGCTTCAGGACTATGGATTTCACATTTCTGAGAACCTCCCCCTCACGGTGGTGGCAGTCACAGCAGGTAGAGGCTGACAGGAAACCTGAAAGTTGCCTTCCCTGGTTCTCTTCCCATCTCTCAGTCTTGTAACAAAAGGCAGAAAATGCTACCCTGTGGAAAGTTGGGGAATTCTGACCTCATTCTGTCTTGGGCTTTTCACCTTTCTTTGCTGAAGAGGAGGAGGGAGGGAAAAAGCCTCAAGAACACTTGCTGCTTTGAGCCCCAGACTCCCACTGACTTTGGCCAGAGCTTTGTCCTGCTGAGCTGCTCTGGCCAGTCTTAGGGGACCAGTGATAGTATTTAGACAAACTAGCCACTCCTCTTTAAACCTGCATGCTCCTTGCTGGTGAGAGTTTCTAGGCAGCCAGTAATAGAAACAATTGATTTGTTTCCACTTGAGTCTGTGAAATATAGACTATGCCCGTGTGGAGGGGAGCAGGCTGGGAGAGCCTAGCGATTGTTTTCATACTTGAGCTATGATGTTAGGTCAGGGACTAGTTTAAATGTACTGATTTCAATTTATACATACAAGTGTATGTGTACATACACTATCCACCTGAGTTCTTTAGAGAGGGACATGATAGATTCACTGGCCATTTGGACTGTTTCTCCTAGTTTTCTTTTTCAGAACAGCCTCCTAAAGTCTCTTGGAATGGATTTATGTAAGTATGTTATACATGGTTTATAAAGAGGAAAATTAAAATCTGTGTGATCCAGTGCCCAAGGGACCTAGACTACCATTTTGCTGTGCTTCTGTGACACATGGAGCCTGATTCCTCCTGGCCTGAGCACCAATTATTTACTTTCTCTCCAACAGGAGGCTCTGCTCATGGCAAGCTTTTCCCTGGTGATCAGATCCTCCAAATGAACAATGAACCTGCTGAAGAACTTTCCTGTGAACGGGCCATGGATATTCTCAGGTGCTAAGTTGTCTTCCATCATCCAGAGCTTATAAAGACAGGCAATAGGCATGGCATAACCAATCCTGTGATTTTAGGAAGGCCTAGTCTCTTTTATTTTATTAATCTATTTTTTTGTTTTATTTAATTTGGGGGGATGGCTTGAATTCAGGATCTTGCATTTGATAGGAAGGTGCTCTACCACTTGAGCTATGCCCTCTAACCTTTTGTGCTTTTAGTTATTTTTCAGGTAGAGTCTCACATTTGTACCAGGAGCCAACTTCAGCTGTGATCCTCCTATTTATGCCTAACACAGCTTATGATGACTCCTTACCACCACATCCAGCTTATTGGTTGAGATGAAGGGTCTCACTAATTTTTTGCCCAGCCTAGCCTTGAACCTCCATCCTACCACTCTGCTTTCTGACTCAGTGAGTTCTATGACACAAAGAAGCCCAACTTCATTTGCTACTTACGTGCTAGTAAGATACACTTCAGCAATGGAGGGCAGGCACAGCTGCAAAAGAAGCCAAGGACAATGCCTGTGTGCCTCTGATCATATAATATTTATCGAAATGCTTTCCAAGAAATGGAACCCCGGTGGGAAAAGCAGAGGAAATAGTCTGTAAACACGGGAGAATCCCATGTTAGCTTGCTTATTGATTTATTTTTGTATGTGCCAGTCTTAGGGCTTGAACTCAGGGCTTAGTGCTGTCCCTGAGCTTCTTTTGCTCATGGCTGGTGCTCTACCACTTAATCCAAAGCTTCATTTCTGGCTTTTTTGGGGGTAGTTTAATGAGTAAGAGTTTCATATACTTTCCAGCTAAGGCTGGATTTGAACCACAATTCTCAGATCTCAGCCTCTTGAGTAGCAAGGATTACAAGGGTAAACCCAGAATGCTTATTTCTTTTTATCTTAGTTTTCAATGTCTAAAAGCAGCATGTATTATTCATTATTATTTGTAAAGGGGGAAAACAAAGCAAAACAAAATGATAATAGAAGCAAAAACCTTAGAATTTCCTCCAAATACCTGTGAATCTATAATGTCCTTTTGAGTTATTGGGATATAGCTTATTGAAATTTATCTCTGTTCTCACATACAATGGAAAAGAGGTGATTCCCAGGCACTTAGAAACCTAAAGTTGTGTTTATCCATTGGAGGAAAGGCCTATAGGTTCATATTGTAAGAAATCAAATGAAATTATTTTTCAAAATGCTTCTCATTGTGATAATAGCAAAGAGAAAGTGCTACTAGAAAGTGAATTGGGTGTTATATTGCACACTTGTAATCCCAGAACTTCAGAGACAGAAGCAGGTAGATCAAGAGTTCGAGACTAGCCTTGGCTACACACACACATATATACACACATACACACATGCATGTGTATATGTAACAGCTATCTGGCTGGTTTAATCACTTTTGAAATCTACAAGATAATATGAGATACAAATGCCTTTTATGGTGATTATATACCTGGGTTTATTATACTGACTTTGTGCCCAAACAACACAGACTGGTTGGCTTTTATCTGATAAATAATGTTACCTACACACATTGATTCTATTTAGTAAAATATTTAGCCTTTGTTTCTTGAAACAGCAATTTAACTTATCGGTGTTATTGCTGTTTTCTTGAAAAATTAGTTTAGGATATAAGACTAGCTAGTCAGCCAGATGAATTCTTCATCGTATGAAACTAAATTTAGTGGCTGTAGGTGTGATGGATGGTACAGGTGGGTGTCTGGAGGTTCCCTTAAAGAGGAAGCAGCACTCTGTGCCCTCTCAAATCCCTTTCCAATTGGCACTCTCTCCCAACATCCTCAGTTTTGCTGAACCAAAGAAGCCTATTCAAGAGGCTGCGTAATAATTCTGCCAATCTTTTACACACATACACATGCACATGCACACACACACACACCATGGAAGTACTAAATGTTTTTGTCTTTATTCTTTTTTTTTCCTTCTTTTTCAGGGAAGCTGAAGATTCTCTTTCAGTCACAGTTGTTCGCTTCACATCGGTAAATCTTTCTCTGTCTTACATATTAATTTCATCTTTCTTGACCTCAAGACTCTGAGCCCCTGGAAGATAGCCCTTATAACATAATAAAGGGTAGAGGATGACAGTCAACCCACAGGGCCTGAAGACTTCCTGCCCTCCGATGTGGAGGCAATACATGTGGTCTGGGCTTCAAGAGTTTCCAGTCCAGGGCTGGGAAGTTGGCTCAGTGGTAGAGCGCTTGCCTTGCATGCCTGAGGCCCTGGGTTCGATTCCTCAGCACCAGATAAGCAAAAAGAAAAAAAACCAGAAGTGGCGCTGTGGCTCAAGTGGTAGGGCACTAGCCTTGAGCTGAAGAGCTGAGGGACAGTGCTCAGGCCCAGAGTTCAGGCCCAACAACCGGACCAAAAAAAAAAAAAAAAAGAAAGAAGAGCTTCCAGTCCAGCCAAGGAGACAACAGTGCTTGTGTCATGAGGAACAGTGGAAAGGGTGCCACAGTGGAAGTGGTCAAAACAGGCTTGGGAAGGACGATTTGGGACACATCGTTAGATCCAGTTTTCACTTTTGTCAAGCAGTGGAAATGATAGTTATTGCCTGGGATTGTCCCAAGAACCAAATGAAGTATTGGATGTGACAGTGTTTTATCAGTTCAGCTCACCACAGGCAAGGTGTGGCAGAGATGAGGAACCTGGAAGAAATGGCAATCCTGAACTACTACAGGCCACAGAGCCTTTATGAATTATACAAGAAAAAGTATATGATCGCGTTATAAGAGCAAAAGCTACTGAGGAGGAAAAGTTGACCAAATTCTCATTATGAGAGACATTGCAACAAAATGCTACATAGATCCATTTTCTTGAATATAATTTAAAAAGAAAACTAATAACTAACCAAAATTTAATTAAAATCATCCAGCCATTTAGAAATAAAATGCTATTTCCTCACTGAAGATGGAGTCAAATAAAAGTATCATTGTATACTATTCACAGAATAATTAAAAATTAGAGCTCTACCGTTTAAAATCTATCATGTAAGGTTAAAGCTATACTCAGGATAAAACTCATAACCTTAAGTGTGTTTTTTTTATCATTTTAAAAAAGAACAGACCAGTCAAATATTCAGTATAAGAAGTTGGAAGAAAGTACTAATAAACGTTACAAGAGTAAAAGAAATAAATGGTTTGGAAAACAGAAAAGTGATAAAGCTGATAAATACAAGAACTAGTTCTTTATGGGGGAAAATTATAAATAGAAAATCTTAAGGAAAAAATGTCTGGGCCCTATGTGAGGGAAACTAAAATATTACTGAAGTGGGCTAAGGGTATAGTTCAGTGGTAGAGCACATGCGCAGCATGAGGAAGGCCCTAGTTTGACTCTAGCACCAAAAAATAAAATAAAATATATATGTATTTGTACTGAAGCATGTAAAAAAGTTAACTTTTAATATAAAAGAAAATGTAGAAGTACATACTATGTTCTTCAGGCCCAGACCATTAGTCATAAGAAAACTAGTATCATTATTTTCACTAATGAGAAGAAGAAAGATGGCCTTAATTAAATACAGATTAATACTAATAACTCTCCAATTACTAAAGCAGTCTGATATGGATGAAATGTTGGACATATTAATTAATCAAATAGGAAGTTGAAAATTAGTACTTTCGCTGGATCCAGTGTGTGATGAACATGACATCCCAGCCAGTGGGAGAAAAGATAACTATTCAAGAAATCATACTTGAACATTTCTTGGTGCATTTGGGAAAAATACAGTCTTACTTTACATCATGTGATGTTTTAGACTTTAAATATAAAAAAAACATATAATATGTAAACAATATAGACCAGTATCTATCAAGTGATAGGTTATAGAAAGACTCCTATATAGAGAGGTTTGGAAGAAACACAGTAGATCAAGTAGCTATTTGATTATGCAAAAATATAAAATGTATGTGGTCCAAATACTTCACAAGTAAACAATTGGCCTTCTCTCCTCATGTGAAAAGTGTTATCCTTTGTTCTTAGTTTTTGAAACTTATTTGTATTAAGATATTTACCATAAATGTGACAGAACGAGTATTTTATACACAATAAATGGAGATTTTTCTATAGTAAATAGTTTGTCAATACAAAGCCAATATAAAATCAGGGAAAGTTAGTCGGTATAAATGGCAGTACAGGCATTAATCCATTCTTTTTATCTGATTATCATCTCAGTGATGAACATCTTAATCTTAATTAGATTGCGGGGGAGTGCCCCTCCAAAAAATGAATGAAATAAAACTCCTGTTAGGTGAGAAGAGAGGAAAATAGTGTATAGCTATATTTTCCTAAACAATGAAAAATAGGGGCTGGGAAGGTGACTTAGTGGTAGAGTGCTTGCGTAGCATGCATGAAACTCTAGGTTCTAGTACTTAGTACCACATAAACAGAAAAAGCCAGAAGTGGCGCTGTGGCTCAAGTGGTAGAGTGCTAGCTTTGAGCAAAAGAAGCAGAAGCTTAGAAACAGTGTCCAGGCCCTGAATTCACCCAGGACTGGTGAGGGGGTGGGGGGCAGAGGGTGGGAGGGAGGAAGGAAGAAAGGAAAAGGAAGGAAAGAAGAAGACTCCTATGAGATGGGCACCAGTGACTCACACCTGTAATCCTATCTACTTGAGAAGCTGAAATCTGAGGACTGCAGTGTGAAACTAACCGAGCAGATAAATCTGCAGACTTCCTCCAATTAGCCAGCAAAAAGCCAGAAGGGGAGGTATGGCTCAAGTGCACTAGCTTTGAGCAGAGAAGCCAAGCAAGAGAGAAGAGCTGGAGGCTTTGAGTTATGTGCCCAGTACTGGCACACAAAAAAGAAGGGAGGGAGGGAGAGAGGGAAAAGAGAAAACAAAAGAAAATTCCATGTTCCAGCACCATTCTAGAGATTCCCACAGGATTGCCAGGAAGTGGAATGTGACTAGGGCAGGAAAGCCAGTATTCTGGCCAGTGTCTGGCCATCAGTATCTCAGAGTATTGCCTTGAATGTTGACGGATCCACTTCTGACTTTCCACCAAGAGTGTCCTGAAGTTTTTTACGGACATTGTGTCACACTTGTCTTCTTTCAGCAAGGAGGCTCATTTAGTGTCCTCCAATGGCTTGAAATTGATTTTAAAAGTTATAAAATGTAAAGCTGAATATTAATGACTACTTGTCTAGGGCAGAATTTTATAGAAACATATATTTCGGTTTTAATTTTTCAAAGTCTACATTTCTTAATACTAATCGTTTACGTGTTGTTTAAATTCACCCAAAGGAAATCCTCCTGCAAGGCAAATACTCTCATTATCCTCCTTTTGCAGATGAAAAAGTCCTAGAATAAGGAATGGATAGCTCATATCCTTTAAATGTACGTAAGTAGGCATAGTCTAGATATAGTCTAGATGCCAAGGTACCTGGGTACAGTATTAATGTTCCCATGGAACAGTCCAGAGGCCTGTGAGTTGGGCATTTCCGTGACAGGATGTATTCTTTCTCAAAGCAGCCAGTTTCATGGCTGGATGGTTCTTCATGTCACCAGGCCCTTCTTCCCTGGGACTCCCACTGACTAGTTCTCATTCAAAACAAGTCTACCTTGTATGAAATGGCCTTCCTTTTGTCAGACTAAACAACTGTTCCTTATTCATGTGTTCTTTCTGAATTCTCACTTTCTTGCTAGGCTTGTGGTCAGATTCCAATTGCATTGTGACCCAAAAGGAACACATTTCCATCAATAGCCAAAGGGTACCATGGGAAATGAATGGAGGTTACACTTCTGGCATGCACTAGAGAATTCTAATGAAATCCAAGATTGGGTTAACACTTTGGCAAGCACAATCATACTGTTGGCTTGGGTGACATTTGTGGTCAAAGAAATACTGAACTGGTTTTGTAATGAATAGCCTCTAAGCCAACTCTCCCAATCCCATGCTTGAGCAATTGATTCGTTTTTTTCTGATCCTCAGTGCCACATTTCAAGTTCATCCCTGTCAAGTCATGTTACTTTGGCCCGGTGTTCTGACATGCTGTGATTTTATAGTCAGGGAACCTTGGGGCTGAAAGGCTTATTTGGGCCATTGCCCGCTGGAGTTATTCTCCCTTGGTGTTGGGGAATCTCCTCCTCCCAAGTCTTCCTACTTAAGAGTTCCCAGCTAGGTCAATTTCTTTAGCAAGCTCCTCTCTGGGCCTAACTGTTACAGATTTACCCTCATCCAAGTGAGAGACAACAATGGTTGCCTCCTACAGATTCCTTCTCTCAGTCTCTCTATTCTGCCACTGGTTCTTTGTTCTTTTGAATATTTCAGCCGGTGATGGTTGTACATATCGCTTTGACTACTCATGACTCTGTTCTCTTCAGATCTTGACAACACTGTTCCACTACACCTTTTTTGGTTTTTCTTGTTGATTTCCAGGTCTTTGGACTCACAGTTTCTCCTGCTTCATGTTTCTTGGCTCTTTTAGATTCGTAATTTGTTAATCTTGTCTTTCAATTTCTGCTACTGGAGATCTATTCTGAGTGTAGGTCACTAAATTTTGAGTCTATCTAATGATTCTGCATCTGGCCTTTTCCACAGGGGGATTATAGGAGAGATTATCAAATGCTTTGCAAGAATGAAGGAGTACCACTAGATCCACAGGACCCTGGCCTACCAATCTGGAATCTTATCTTCAAAAGAAAAGTGAACTTGGTTGGCTCTCACTTGTTCTTGGTAACTCTGTATCAGCCATTAGTGATCTGAAAGCTTTCTCCAAGCTCTTTTATCATCACTCTTGTCTTAGATTTTGACAAGAGTTAATGATAAGCTTGCCGATATGTGCTTTCCTTTATCCTCAGTATTCATTTTCTGGGAAACTTGATATTTGATTATCTTTAGACTCCACATATTTCTTCTCTTTTTTGATCTTGGGTAATGCTAGTTGTTATATCTAATAGATCTAGATGCACTTGGCATAGGAGTCTTTGATTCAGTTGATGAAGACTGGTAATCTCATCACTAATTTTGGCTCATACCTTCCCTTTTTTCTATTTCTTCTGTTCTTATTGATCAAAATCCTCTGTGAGCATTGCTATATCTCTTTCTTCTGCTAAATGTTGTTGTGATGGTGATGGTGATTTTAAAGCAATCTATTTATTTGAGGTATATTTATACTGTCACACCAAGAATCTAGTTACCAATAATATCACATCCATCTTTTTGCATTAAGATTTCAGGGTCCTTTGTTCATTTAATGAACATCATGACATTGATGTGATAATATCCATGTCCATAAGCATTTCAGCCATTTAATTTTCCTGATTGCTGTTCCGTATCTCTTCCCTCAGCTACAAAGAACATGGCCCAGAGCATGATCTCTGGACTCATCTAGATATTCTAAAGAACTGTCTAGGCTAGAGGAACATAGGATGTTAGGTTGGGCGATAGTGTATTGAGATTTCATCCAAGAAGATTACATACTTTTGGCCTGCATCATGTAAGATTCTATCAAGTGTTACAAGTTGGCCTGATATGATCTAGTCCAAAGACTTCTCTATATTATTTAGGCCAACTGATGATGAGTCTTTCTGCCTCTGGAGAAAAGAGAGTACCATCCACATGAGAAGAGCAAAGAGAGAAAAAAATCCCAGGGCCCAGAGCTTCTGGCAGTCCTGACACCTGCTTTGGGTAGAGGGATGAGGACCTGGTCATAGTCCTTATTTTGCTTGGTTTGGTTTTGTACCTGTAACTCCCCTTATTTCCTTTCATAGGAATTTGTGTTTGAGATAGTCCTGCCACTTGTCTGAAATTCCAGCAGAATCTGGGCTGGAATTTAGGTCTCCTTTAAAGACCAGCTTTCTTGTCATTATCATTGCTGCCATTTTGAATATCCAACTTTTGGGGCACTTGAGAATGTGGTCTACATTGGGAACCCTAGACTGTAGAAGAGATCTTCCCATGGAATGTTTTCCTTTCCTATTGGTGTTCACTGAATCTATAACCACTGTCAAAGTGGCATTGAGTGTTTTTTTTGTGTGTGTGTCTGTTTTGTTAAGAAAGGAGACGAAATGCTTGCATCTTATGCACATACTGTTTGCTGTCTTTCAGGGAGTCCCCAAATCCTCCTTCTTGACTGAGGAGAAGAGGGCCAGGTTGAAGACCAACCCTGTGAAGGTACACTTTGCAGAGGAAGTGCTTGTCAGTGGACACAGCCAGGTATGTCACTGGTCACGGATTGAGGATGCTGATGAGCTGCCTGTGGCGCATGATGCACTGGAACTCTGAAATCCTCAACACAGAGGACACAAAGAGAGTTCTGCCTCTTTGCTGGAGGCTTTGTGCCCTTTGTCATTAAGATGCCTGCAGACAGCCTGGCACAGTGGTTCATGTCTGTCATTTCAGCTATTCAGGAGGCAGGGATTGGGAACATTGTGGCTCAAGGGTAGCTGGGAAAAAAATTACCGTCTCTATCTCAATCAAGAAGCCAGGTATGGTGGTTCATATCTGTAATCCTAGGTATGCAGGAGGTATCAGTAGTAACCTCTTGGCCTGTGACCAGCCTGAAACTCTATCTGAAAAATTGGTGTGAAAAGGACTAGAGGTCTGAGTCGAATGATGGAGGGCTTGCCTGGCAAGTATAAGACCCTGAGTTCAAATACCTCAAAAAAGAAAAAGAAGAGAAAAAAGAAAGGAAGGAAAGAAGAAAAGAAGAAAGAAAAAGATACCTACACACTCTGGGCAAGATTACTGTTCTAGACTAATGTGTGGTTGTCTTATTCTGTGACTATATTCTTTATTGCCATTTCTAGATTCCAGTGCTTAACTTCCCATGATGAATCTGCAATCTTATTCTCTCTGAAAGTGAAATATTGATAAGAGAGATGCAGAGGGGATTTAATTTTTTTAAGAGCCCACCATCTCTGACCTCTGTTATGTGCCCCACAGTTCTTATGTACCTAATCCTTAATCAAATAATATCCTACAGGGGAGGGATTCTAACAAAAGAACAAGCAAAAACTTAGTGAGATTAAGGGAAATAATTGCTAAGATCACACAGTCAGAAGTCTGGGACTATGTGATTTCAGTTTTTGTGTTTTTTCACTATAACATGTAGTCTAGTCCTTTTTTATATAAAGACATTCAAGGTTGCTGGGAAGTGGAGTATCAGTAGACATCCTTGTAAAGGGAAAATGTTGGCTGGAGTTTGATGTTTTTAATCTAAAGTGTTGGATAAAGTGCTTACTTATTCATAATTTATACAATGGTTGCTTACTATTGCCTTTCTGAATTCAGTAATCAGCATTAGATTTTGAAAATTTTCAGTCAAAGCTTGTCCTTATCTGGTCTTCTTGACATTCTTAGAGACAAGCAAATGGTGACAGGAGTGAGGTTCTGTGGCCATTTTAACGAAGGATCTAATTCACATCTTGACCTTCTCCTTCCCTGCTGCCTAAGGGAGCCCAAAGGTCACCAAGACCTGCTCTAGCAAGGAGCCAGTGCATTAATATTGCCTAAGAGAAGACCAGAAATGCTGTCAGAGCGCAATATTTGAATCTGAGTGTCCATGTTTGTGAGAAGGGATTGAACCTCTTTAGCAGTTTAAATTTACATTCAATGTGTGTATTCTAGAGTAAGTGCATAATGAGGAGCAGTGGGAAGAAAATCAGCTCTCAAGACAAGTAGAAAATGAGGGCTCTGCAGATGTATGCTAGGTCATCATAACTCCCCTTTCACTACTGTCTATGCTGAAAAGACCAGGTAAGGACAAGTTTGAGACCTAAGTCAGCTATAAAGCTAGATTAGAGCCAGGCACCCAGTGGTTTATGCCAGTAATCCTAGCTACTCAGGAATCTGAGATCTGAGATCTGGTTCGCAGCCAGCCTGTACAAGAAAATCCATGATTTTTTTTCTCCAATTAACTGCCAAAAAGCCAGAAATGGAGCTATGGCTCAAGTGGTAGGGCACTAACCTTGGCCAAAAAGCTCAGGGACAGCATACAAGACCTGAGTTCAATACCCAAGAGCAGCATAACAAAACCCTAGATCAAAGTATTGATGGGAAGAGGCACTTTAGAGGACTAAGGCTCTAAGAGGTATCTCTGGGATGTCTCACAGGCCCTGGTTCCCAGGGGAATTTACAGGAGTCTCTGACAGACACAGGATGAAACAGAATATCAAAGACAGCAAAGCCAGTGACCTGCCTATGCGTCCTCTTAAGTGTTGGTATGATAAAGCTGGTGGACAGACTTTTCCACTTGAGAAGTGATAAGACTGCATCAGGGGTGCACAGCTACTTGAGCAGAATCAATCTGAAATAACAAAGCAGCACTGGAATTGTATTTAACATTACTCACAGTTAAGGAAATTTAAAGGGAAATATGAAGTGATGCTTGGTCCTTAGAAAATGAACTCAAGAAATGGTTATATAAGCCTTGTTGCTAAGGAAATAGCTACAGTTATGCGCTAACTGGGTGCTTTGGAAATTGTTTCAAACATTTTGAGTAGAAAGAGGAACAATTTAATAATTGCCATAAAAAGGAGCCCAACCAACCCCAGGCACTGTAGCTCACACCTGTAATCCTAGCTAATTAAGAAACAGATCTGAGGATAGTGGCTCAGTGCCAGCCAGACCAGAAAAGTTCATGATACTCTTATCTCCAATAAACTACTCCAAAAAAGTTGAAAAGCTGAAAGTGACCCAAGAGGTAGAGCTCTAGCTTTAAGCAAAAAGATGCTTAGGGACACCACCCAGGCCCTGAGTTCAAGCCCCCAGGACTGGCACACACAAAAAAAGCCCAGGAATTGGGATGAGGGATGTGGCTCAAGTGGTAGAGAGCTTATTTAGCCAGCACAAGACACTGAGTTCAATCCTCAGTGTCAATCAATCATCAATCAATCAATCATTGTCCTGGGGTCACAATCCTAATAATTTAGAAGGTAAAATAACTAACATGCAAAAATCCACATATTAGCTGGGGCTCATGCCTGTAATCCTAACTACTCAGGAGGTTGAAGACTGAGGTTTGAAGCTAGCTTGAGCAGGAAGTATATTTATTTTATTTTATTTTTTTGTCAGTAGTAGGGCTTGAACTCTGGGCTTGGGCATTGTCCCAGCACTCTTCAGCTCAAGGTGAGCACCCTACCACTTGAGACACAGCACCACTTCTGGTTTTCTAGTGGTTTATTGGAGATAAGAGTCTCACAGACTTTCTTGGCTAGGCTCCTGAGTAGCTAGGATTAAGGATTACAGGCGTGAGTCACCAGCACCCAGCAGGAACTATAATTTAAATAATCAAAGATAGTAGAAGGGCTAAATGTCTAGAACACAAGAAAGGCTACCTTGATTCTGAGGCTTCATCTCAATAGAATATTACAAAGCCAGTGAGATTATAAACATTAAGTTCACATTAAAATTACATATGAAATATGTATTGGGTAAAATGTGAACATAGAATTGTATCATTTCTCTAAAAGCTCCAAAAATTTGGAAGAAACCTAGAGAAAAGTAAATGGTGGAAGCTATGCAATGTGGTAATGGACATCTTTTTTTTTGAAATCTTGTAAATCACAACTCATATAGTACCAAGGAAAAACGTTATCAGTGTGGGAGCTCAGCCTCACATTTGTTAGACTGGCATCCTATCACATGAGCCACACCTCCAGACCTATTTTGTCTTGTTTTTCTTGAGATAGACTTTTGCAAACTTTTCTGCCCAGGCTGGCCTCAAACCATAATCTTTCCATTCTCAACCTCCTGAGTAGCTAGGATTACATGAGTGAACTACCAGCCCGTACCTCAGATATTAAGATTTCTAAATACCCCAGCCAAAGAGCAATTCAAACCCCCCATCCTGGTGGAGTGTGGGGCACTGGGATAGGACAGCACCCCTTTTTCTCCTGAAAACACTAGAGTTCTAGAGAGCAGTGAGTCTTGCCGAGGAGATACAAGCATTTTCTGTGTGGAAGACTCAAGATTCTCACAGGGAGAAGTCTGTAAGATGTTTTGAGAAAAACAGGGTGAATATCTTTACCCAGGTGGGCTTTGTACCCATACTTCTTACAGAGATTAGTGGGCAAAGTAAGAAATGGAGGAAGGTCTAGTTCATATCTTGATGACCCTAGAAACTTTTCACTGGGTTTAAAGGACCCCAGCTCAAAGGGCTCTTTTGACTTGCAGCTCAAACGTCCAAACATAACTTTTTATGAGAGCTGGCCCTGAAGACATTCTCCAAAAATCTTGCCCTGCCGCCTCGCCCCCACGTTGGGGATTCCCATGTCAGAATTCTTTATTGACTTGGGGTCACTGTGTCTATCTTCCCCTAGCACTGAGTGGCAAGATCTCCTGGAGATCTGTCTAATCTGAGATGATGGTTGGGGTAAGTGGATTTTGTAAGGTTTTACTATGGGGAATGCAGCAGTAAAATGGGGTGAAGGGAGAGTCCTAAACTTTCCACCCATCATGCCAACCTTACAAGGTAAAAGTCCAAGAATCTAAGAAGGGCCCTGTTTGAAGAGCAGGCATGCTGGTCATCCACTTTGCCAAATGGCATCACATAAGAATGTCAACCAACAGAGCCATGCCAGCTGATGGCTGTAAAACATTGCCCATGGTCATGCAGCCTCAAGATGCTCAGGGCACAGTGTTCACTCTTTTCCACCTCCACCCTATCTAACAGTTCTCATGTGCGTCCTGTGGCAAAGTGTGCTTATCTTTTGGAGAAATTCTTGAATGCTGAGAAAGCCCTTCTTGAGTGGTAAAGTGTGAGAGGATCATCCTCCCCAAATCATAGAAGGCCAGGCAGCCAAAGCCTGGTCCATCCAGAGACAGGAAAGGTGTGTCAGGGACACAACACTACCTTTGTGTTTTCCAGGGTAATTCTCTGCTGTGTATGCCCAACGTGCTCAAGCTGTACTTGGAGAATGGACAGACCAAAGCTTTCAAGTTTGAGGCAAACACAACTGTGAAGGTATTGAGAGTAAACTTGAACTTCTTTCCCATGAGAAAGGATCCCACAACTACCATCTTCTGAGCACCTGTGATGAGACAAACCCCCATGTTAGCTCATTTCTTTGCATAACTGCCCAGAAAGATGGTGTGGGTATTTTTTTGTTTGTTGGTTGGTTGGGTTTTGTGCCAATGCTGGGGCTTGAACTCAGGGCTTGAGCACTGTCGGAGCTTCTTTTGCTTAAGACTAGCACTGTACCACTAGAGCCACAGCTCCACTTCCAGCTTTTTCTAGTTTATTGAAGATAGATAAGAATCTCATGGACTTTCCTGCCTGGGCTGGCTTTGAACCATGATCCTCAGATCTCAGCCTCCTGAATAGCTAGGATTACAAGCATGTGCCACCAACGCCCACTTTGTGTTTTTGTTGCTTGTTTGTTTAAAATCACTTATTGCAAAGGAGGAAATCAGGACTCAGAGAGGTGAAGGCGAGCAATGAGAATCCCCAACTTCTCAGCTCATCCCATGCCCCTCTGTGCCTGCCAGGACATCATCCTCACGGTGAAGGAGAAGCTGTCCATCCGAAGTATTGACTACTTTGCGCTGGCCCTGGAAGAACAGTACAGTATCTCAAGGCTGCACCTGCTACACGAGGAGGAGCTTATTGAGCAGGTGGGGAGACCAATCCTGCCGATGCCAGAATGGGGCAAACAGAAGCCATTCAGGAATTTATTATACTTTTTTTTAATTGGTTGTGGGGCTTGAACTCAGGGCCTTGGCAGTGACCCCTGAGCTTTGCTTTTTTTTTTTTTTCCCTCAAGGCTAATGCTCTACCACTTTGAGCTGCAGTTCTACTTCTGTGGTGGTTTTTTGTTTGTTTGCTTGCTTTTTGAGTGTGTGGGGGGGTACTAATTGGAAATAAGAGTCTCATGGACTTTCCTGCCTGGCCTGGCTTTGAATTACAACCTTCAGATCTCAGACTTCTGAGTAGTTAGGATTACCGATGTGAGCCACCAGTGCCTGACAGTTGTGCCAACTTTTTTTTTCTTTTTTGTTTTTGGTGTGCCATGGGGCTTGAACTCTGGGCCCGAGTGCTGTCCCTCGGCTCTACACCTCTAGCACTCTACCACTTGAGCCACAGTGCCACTTCCGGTTTTCTGGTGGTTTATTGGAGATAAAAGTTGTATGGCCTTTCTGCCCAGGCTGGCTTTGAACTGCAGTCCTCAGATCTCAGCCTCCTAAGTAGCTAGGATTACAGGCATAAGCCACCAGTGCCCAGCTAATTGTACCAACTTTTAAAGCCAAATACAGGTTGAGTGCTGATAGCGCACATCTGTAATCCTATCTACTCAGGAAATTGAGATCTGAGGATCACAGTTCAAAGCCAGCCTGGGCAGGAAGATCTGTGAGACTCCTATCTACAATAAACTACTCAGAAAAAGCTGCAAGTAGTGCTGTGGCTCCAGTGGTAGAGCACTAGCCTTGAGCAAAGGAGGCTCAGACAGGGCCCAGGCCTTGAGTTCAAGGCCTGGGACTGTCAAAATAAATAATTAAATAAAAGCCAAATACAAGTCAGGTCAGCAATTCTCTGTGGAGATGTATATTATTATAAAGATAGGTAGGAATTTGCCACATGAAAGAGGGTGGGCTTCTGAAGCAGGCTAGCAGGTAAGAAAGGATGACCTCTGGGAAGTTATTCTGAGTGTCCCTCATTGCTTCTGAGCACAAACCCCAGTCATTCACCTGTTAGAAACTTTGCTGCTTACAAATCTTTTTGTTATTACTTGTATTTATAGTGGGAAAGAAAAACAAATTCCTAAGATAATGTAAGTGGAGAGATAAAAGGTGCTGGCTGGTATGCAGACTATATTGTTATCTGTGGAAAAGAATGCACACATTGATGTAAATATATTGCAAGATTGTCTCTGGAAGGGCACCTAAGAAACTGGAAAGAGGACCTGGGAGATAGCTCAGTGGGAAACGAAACACTTTGAAACTTTTATGTTTTGGATGCATGGGAAAAAGTAAAAGTCTAATTGTCTTGAGAAGCACTGAAATAGAACTGGGGCTCTTTCACTTTCTTTTGTGAGGTTGTTTTTTGTGGAAGAACTGCAGGGGCAGAGGCAGTTACAAGATTAACAGTCTCTTCTTTACTCTTGGCAGGTGGTGGAAAGGGAGGAGGCCCATGATTCCCGTTGCCTCTTTAGAGTGTGTTTTGTTCCCAAGGATCCCTTGGACCTCCTGAAAGAAGATCCTGTGGCCTTTGAATACCTCTACCTGCAAGTAGGTAACTAGGATGTGCTTCCAGAAATGATGGAAGTAGCCTCAGAAATGGCATGCTGGCGTGTGTGTGTGTGTGTGTGTGTGTGTGTGTGTGTGTGTGTGTTTTCATCCTGGGGGTTGAACTCGGGGCCTGGGCACTGTCCCTGAGCTATTTGCTTATGGCTAGCACTGAACCTTTTGAGCCACAGCTCCACATCTGGCTTTTTGGTGGTGAATCGGAGTCTCACAGAGTTTCCCACCTGGGGTGCCTTTGAATTATCATCCTCAAATCTCAACCTCTTGAATAGCTAGGATTACATAACCACCTGTGCCTGGCTAGGGTTTATCTTTTTCTGGAGAAAAAATGGGCCTATTTTTTCCCTCAGATTATTTTTTCTGCCACTGGGTTGCTGTAATAGGACATTTGCAATATAATGATGAAATTTAGACTTAATCCTCAGTATGGATAATATATTTCCTAATACTATTTAATGATCATTATCATTTCCATTTTTATTGCTAACAGGGACTTTAATGCATTAGAATCTCATTTTACAGATGCTGAAACTAAGTCTTGGAAAGGACATGTAGTGTCTTGGGTCCTCACTTAGTGGCAGTCAGAATCTGATTTCTTGACCCCTTAACCTGATCCTCCCTTCTATCTCCTTGGATAAGATTTGCTATATGGGGCTGGGAAGGTGGCTCAGTTGTAGAGTGCTTGCCTTGCATGCATGAGCCCCTGGGTTCAATTCCTCAGCACCACATAAGCAAAAAGAAAAAAGCCGGA